GGAGAGGAGAGGAGAGGAGAGGAGAGGAGAGGAGAGGAATAAAGCTCCCAGTTGTTGGAAATGAAGTTTTCTGCAGTTGAAACTCAGCAATACACACAAACCTGGTCTGAATTATAAAAATAAATTACCAAATGCAAGGTTCTTGAACATATTTGTCCATGAACTATTGTCCCTGGAATTTTTACTAGTAAGGTATAAATATTGCAGCATATACCAACTGAATTGTCATGTAACAGAATTAATGTCACTTCCCAGAAATAGATACCATCTGGGGGGAAGAGAAGCCATCTGGCTGAACCTAGAGGCAATTCTTGAGAAAAGAGCTTGAGTTCTTCACACTGTGCCTCTCTCAAATACTCTGTAGAGTAACCCCAAAACTCCAAGATTCCGTTCTTTGAGGATCAAGCTGGAAGTACTTGAGGAAGTACTCTACAGAACTCTGTCTGTGGAGACAAAAATAAACCTTCTCCAGGGCTTCCCACACCTAGTGCTTTATATGTGCAGAGTTTCTGCTCAGCTTCCCCTGTATTCCCTTTCACTGTGTCCCGCAGACCACAGTAGTACACAGCTTTGTCTGACTGTTGAACTGTGAGTTTTTTCAGGTGGAAGGATCTGTCACTCTTAACATGATTGGCCTGAAAACCCCTGTTGTCCACATCCTGATTTCCTGATGAGCTTTTCAGGAGAAGCTCAGGTGCTTTGCTTTCATACTGGACATACCAGAAAAGGGAAGCTGGATAGCTGGTCTGGTATGTGCAGTTCAGGAATAGAGGTGCCCTTTCTGGAAGGGTAACAGGACCTTTTTCTTGGGTCACTAAATCTCCATTGGTCCTTCCTTAAAAAGAAAACACTTTGTTATATTGGCAACTTAAAAAGATAGTGTTACATTTCGAAAGGGTTAAAGATTATCTTAAAATTAAAAAGATTGAATAAATGTTACTTACTGAGTATCAACAAGATCACAAGTCCTGAGCAGGAAACAGAGAGCATAGTTGGGAAAGAGCAGCGGTAGGATTTCTTCTTGGATACACCAAAACTGAGAGGGTTTTCTAGTTCTTCTAGTTTCTTGTTTCTCTGGTGAAATCTTGTAGAAACTCTTTGTTCATGTTAGTCAAGACTGACTGCACTACAAGATCATGTCACACAGAGTGTAGCAAAGAGAGATGTGCTCAGGAGTAGAAGATGAATTGGTGTCAAACCACCAACTGAAGACAGCAGCTCCCTCTAGCGATGCTCCTTCTGTACAATGCCTGCAGCTGCTAACAAGTGAATCTGGTTGTATTTACCCTGGAATACAGGCGTCCTTCAGAGAAAAAGAGAAAGACCCCCAACAAGATGGGTTGGCCAAGTGGCAGCATCGATGGACTCAAGCGT